TTTAGCGGTTGAATATGCATACAACATGAATTCAGGATTTGTTTTCAATCACAACTCAGAGTTGCCGCCTCCAGTGCCAGTAAGATTCTTGTGACTTGTGTGAGTGTGATATCTCCAGGCCCTATCTGGTCCCATCTCATTTTGAATTTTGATTACCCTGTCAAACAAGTCAGCCTTCCCCCCTGCCTCTCAGCCGCGTCGAATTATTCCGCCTCTTAAGTAATCTGTCCATGTGGCCTTGAAGCATCAGATCTACAATTTTGTTACTAGGGGACCATGGCCGGTACTGACCTCTTGGAAAGAAATCCACTCGTATTCTTTGTTTGGTCCCGTTCTCGTGCCAAGGCAGGGGCCGTTTCCTGTTATAATCAAAGAGGTAATAAATTTTATATTACCAAATTTTATATTACCAATATTATATATATTTTATATTCTGGACACGCTCACTTGCACGTACACTGTACTTACACCCTCAATGACACCACTAGTGTCTTCGAACGTGTGCCCACTGTAGGACGCTGAGCGTTCATGCCGGTAGTTGCAAGAACCAGCGCAGCCACCCTGTGCGTCCCTCCTCGCAACGCATGTAGATGTAGGTCTTCATAGAGTGTGAAACGATCAGTTCGCAGTGAGTGCTTTTCGAGACTCACGTGAAAACACCATGTAGATCTTGGGAGGAAATCTACATGCTTGTACTAAAATGTGTGGGGGGGGGGGGGGGGGGGGGGGGGGCAAGGTAGTCCCGCTGTCTCACAATGAACAATCTGTAGGCTTCGTTGCTGAAAATCATTAGGGCACGCGCGCTCAGGGAATTTTTTTAGTCGTCGAGCAATTGGTGACATTTTTGTCTCCCAACAACTTTATTTTTAACCGCGCGCACAGGGCTAGGCGACAGTAAGGCAACAGTATTTCATTTCATTTTGGCGCATTGGCCACTTGAGAATACCAACTTGTTCATTTTACACCACGACCTTCGGCGACGCAGTAGTTGCTTGCGCTCTAGTGCTTGAACATAGAATTTTTCTTAAAAAGAGAAATAGGTTTGGGGTTCCTGTATCCACTGATCTTCTTCACGCTCTCAACGTAAGGTCGGCTCGCCCCGATGCATGACACGTGTGACGTCACTGCTACAAGCCCAAGTGATAATATATATATATATT